ATGCCCAGTGTGGAACATCTCACCACACTAAAATAGTGGATGTGGCTCTTAATGAGACATGCCGCATTATCACGGGGTGTCTGCGCCCTACACCACTGGAGAAATTACACTGTTTAGCCGGTATTGCATCACCTGACATCCGCCGGGAAGTAGCAGCCAATAGTGAAAGGACCAAGGCAGAGACATCTCCAGCTCATCCCTTGTTTGGGTATCAGCCAGCATGTCAACGACTTAAATCAAGAAATAGTTTTCTAAGATCTACAGAGACACTCGCTGGAACACCTCAGCAAGCAAGAGTCCAAAAGTGGCAGGCTCAAACCCAGAACCTCAATCAATGGCTGATACCAAATGAGAGACTCCCTTCCTGGGCACACAGAAGACGGGGCAAACTGGAAGGCGCTGAACAGACTGCGCTCTGGCACCACGAGATGCAGAGCCAACCTCAAGAAATGGGGCCACAAAATGGAATCAACGACATGCGAGTGTGAAGAAGAGCCAACCACTGACCACCTGCTGCAATGCAACCTGAGCCCCGCCACATGCACAAGGGAGGACCTTCTTGCAGCAACACCAGAGGCACTCCAAGGGGCCAGATACTGGTCAAAAGACATTTAATCTGCTGCCAAGTTTGCAAAATTTGTGTGTTTTTAATATCTGTTTGTTTGTTTTGTTCTGTTAGAAATATAATACAATGTTCTGGTTGTGGATGACATGATAAATAAATAAATAAATCCTTCAAAAATATGCAAACACCACAACACCCCCTGACTTGATCTTCAAAACCTCCCTCTTCAAAAGCCTGTCCGAAGGAAAAAGTTTTAGCCAGAAGGACAACAGGGAGGGGGGGGGGAGGGGGGGCATTCTGGCTTCCCAGGGCTGAGAATTCGAGCTCCCTGTCTCAGGCAACATTCACATGCCCTGTCTCTCAGGATCTGATCCTGGGTTATTTGGCTGTGCAGACTCCCAGAATCAAGCTCAAGGCAGAGGATGTGGGGCCAGACCCTGGGAGAGAGGGAAGTGCGGATCCAGGCCGAGGCTTCAGAATTCCAAGCTGGGCAAAGCCAGTCCCGTGAGCCTCGGTTCCAGCGACATGGCTCCCAATGGTTTCCTTGAAGAGCGTGGAAGGCCAGCCTCTCCCTGTCTCCTATCTGTGGGCACACCAGGCGGGTCTCACTCTTCGCCCTGGCCCCCTAATTGGGGGAAGGGGCTCCCTCCCTCATAAGGAGGCTCCTTCCTCGGGCCCACCCCTCCCTCCCCCTCCTTGAAGGGTCTGCTTTGGGCAGGGAATGAAGGAGGGGAGGGAGGGGGGCTCCAGGGGGGAGGAATGCAGGGCTGCCGAGTGCCTGCCTGAGGGAGGGAGGGAGGCCCCTTCGGCACTGCCCTCTCGCCCCCATGATCACCGCAGGGCACCAACCGCTGCTCTGGGCCAGAGTGAAGAGAGGGGGGGCCGGAAGACAGCTCCACCTTGACTCCTGTGGTGTGCGAATAATATAATATATTGTTATATACATATTTTCATAATATCATAATGTAATACAGTATAATCCTAATAATATAATATACTGTAATATATTGTGTGTACATATAATATTTATGACATTATAATGTAATACAATATAATCCTAATAATAATAATAACAATATGATTGTAAGGAAGTTATCAATGCTTTGAATATATTTGAGCTGTTTGACTGTTTGCTGGGTGGCAATGGCTGAAAGCTGGAGTGAACTAGTTATCTCCACTGTGGCGTTGCCGGGGAAACCAAGCAGAAGAGAGTGAGAAGTGGGCGGAGCCTAGAAAGAAAAATCTAGCTGCGTTTGAAAAGAAGCAGTCAGTGGCCGGTGAGCTACAGGAAGGGACTGATTTCTCTAGTGGGAGAAACAGGGAATTAGTCAGTACGCCAGTGAGCTACTGAGTGAACTGAATCTTTTGGTGGAGATTCAGGGAATCAATTGGTGACCAAGTGGTTGCAGAGAAGGACCCGGTACAGGGGGTTGTTGATTCTAAATTAAGAATCAAGGTTTGGCTGGGTTTAAGCCTGTTGTGCCAGCTGTGAAACCTTATGAAGTGTTTGCCTGAGTTTACTCATGAAACCTTTCCAATGTATCCATCAAGATTTGTGCCTCTTGTGAAGAACAGTTATACATTGTTATACTCCTGTTAAAATAAACTTGTTACTGATTTCCTCAAGCCTTGCCTGATACAGTTTCTTCTAAGTTGAACAGCCTGCAATACTAAAGTCAGCCAGAAACAGTCCCTATATAAAATAGCTCCTAGGCTGATATTGATCGTTGCCGGCTTCCCTCATAGATTAGGTGGCAGTGGGTGTTTTACCACTCGCACCTTCACATTCGGTGGCATTAAAACGGTCACCGTTGACAATTGGTGGCAGCAGTTTAACGACTCCTTTACAAATTGGTGGCAGCAGTTTAACGACTTCTTCACAATTATATTATAAAGATATATTTTATAGGACATGTAATATTACTAATAATATTACAACACAATGGTATAGTACATTAGAGTAATATATAATACTGATCCTGTACTATGCGCATAATATAATGTATTGTAAGTAATATTGTATGTAATGGCTCCCAATGGTTTCCTTGAAGAGCATGGAAGGCCATCTCTCCCTATCTTTTATCTGTGGGCACACCAGGCGGGTCTCACTCTTCGCCCTGGTCCCCTATTTGGGCGAAGGGCTTCCCTCCCTCCCAACCAAGCTCCTTCCTTGGGACCACCACCCCTCCCTCTCCCTCCTTGAAGGGTCTGCTTTGGGCGGGAAGGAAGGAAGGAAGGAAGGAAGGAAGGAAGGAAGGAAGGAAGGAAGGAGGGGAGGAGGGCTCCAAGGGGGAGGAATGAAGGGCTGCCGAGTGAGTGAGTGCCTGCCTGAGGGAGAGAGGGGGGGAGGGAGGGGGCCCCTTCAGCACTGCCCTATGGCCCCTATGATCACCGCAGGGCCCCAACCGCTGCTCTGGGCCAGAGTGAAGAGAGAGGGGCCAGAAGACAGTCCCACCTTGTCTCCTGTGGTATGTGAACAATATATTATAATGTGTATACATATAATATTTATGACTTTATAATGTAATACAATATAATCCTAATAACAATAATTATTAGCAATCTCAAACTAAATACCAATGACAAACTGATCAGCTTCGATGTGGTGTCTCTATTCACCATGGTCCCAGTAGCAGACACCATGCACTCATCAACCAGAGGTTCCCAGAAGACATCACGGCTCTGTTTCACCATTGCCTCACCACCAGCTACTTTCAGTGGGACAATGAATTCTACGAACAGAAAGATGGAGTAGCTATGGGGAGCCCTCTCAGGCCGGTCATCGCTAATTTCTACATGGAACACTTTGAAGAACAAGCTCTTGAAACAGCAACCAAAAAGCCCACGATATGGTTCAGAGATGTGGATGACACCTTCACCATTTGGAGCCATGGGGAAGAAGAACTCAACAGGTTCCTGGACCATCTTAACAGCATCCACCCAAACATCCAGTTCACAATGGAAAAAGAAAATGAAGGAAGACTGCCTTTTCTAGATGTCCTAGTCATCCGCAAACTGGATCAACAATTGGGTCACACCGTCTACAGAAAACCCACACACACAGGTAGATGTCTACATAAAAACTCCAACCATCACCCAAGTCAAAAAAGAAGCCCCATCAAAGCCTTGGCAGACTGTGCAAAAAGAATCTGTGAACCCCACCTTCTCCTCCAAGATGAACTGAACCACCTCAACTGGGCTCTCCAGGCCAATGGAGACTCCACCTCAGACATCAGAAGAGCTGCAAGGCCAAGAACAAGCCACGAAAGATGAAGATCCACCCCGAGGAAAAGTGTTCCTGCCAGACATCAAGGGGACCACTGACTGCATAGGGAAGCTGATGAGGAAACACAACATACAAACAATCTACAGACCCACCAAGAAAATCCAACAAATGCTCCGTTCAGCAAAGGACAAGAGGGATCCTCTCACTTCTGCAGGAGTCTACCATTGTGTACCATGCAGCTGTGGACAAGTCTACATAGGGACCACCAAACGCAGCTTTGCCCAGACACACATCAAGGAACATGAAAGGCACTGCAGACTCCTTCAGCCAGAGAAGTCAGCCATAGCAGAGCACCTGATGAACCAACCTGGACACAGCATATTATTTGAGAACACAGAAATGCTGGACCACTCTCACAACCACCATGTCAGACTACGCAGAGAAGCCACTGAAATCCACAAACATGTGGACAATTTCAACAGAAAGGAGGAAAGCATGAAAATAAACAAGATCTGGCTGCCAGTATTAAAAAATTCAAAAAAAAAAAGCAAAAACAGCAGAGAGAAAACAGGCAGGGACATCTAATTACCTTTCAAGAAGAGTTTGCTCCGGGCATAGTCAGCCCATTGTATGCTAATCAAGGTGGTCAATTGGAACATTAACACACCCAGCCCAACTGACAAAGTCCTGTGTCTCACCCTGGTCATTCCACAGATATATAAACCCAATTTTCCTAGTCCCAACAGACCTCACTACCTCTGAGGATGCTTGCCATAGATGCAGGCGAAACGTCAGGAGAAATGCCTCTAGAACATGGCCATATAGCCCGAAAAAACCCACAAGAACTTAATAGAATATATTGTATGTAAATGCCTCTTGTGAGCCGCTCTGAGTCTCTGAGAAGGGCGGCAGAGAGATGTCGTAAATGAATAGATGGTGAGACATAGCGTTGGAAGAGACTCCAAAGGTCACCCAACCCCAGAGAGGGAGGACACAACACAAGCCCTCCCGAGAGATGTCCACCCGGCCTCTGCTGAGAGTCCTCCCGAGAAGGAGGAGCCCCCCCCCCCCCCCGCTGGACCCCCAGGAAAGCCTCCCCGTGGTCCAGGGTGGTCAGGGCAGGAGAGAGCCGGAGAGAGAGAGAGAGGCCGCCCTCCCCCCCCCAAGAAGTAGGCGGAGCCCAGGCCTCCCCCAGGCACACTCACTCACCCCCACTCGGGTCGCCTTCTCTCTCTCTCTCTCTGACCGGAAAGCGTCCTTGTCCTCCTCCTCCTCTCTCGCTCGTCAACAAGCACGACACCGCCCTTGGCTCCTCCCCTTCCTTCCTTCCGCTATCTCTCTCTCCCCCTCCATCCTCCGGAAGTGAGCTCACGGGGAAAGGCCTCCTCGCCCTCGCCTCCCTCGCCTCTCTAGGACACGGAGGCCGGCCCCTCTCGCTGCACTTCCGCCAACACCAAACATGGCAGCCGCGGGCTGGGTGCCCAGAGAGGGGCGGGGCTTCTTGGCGGCTCTGCCGAGTTAGGAGCAAGAGCGCCTCCTTCCTTCCTTCCTTCCTTCCTTCCTTCCTTCCTTCCTTCCTTCCTTCCTTCCTTCCTTCCTTTCCTTCCTTCCTTCCTTCCTTCCTTCCTTCCTTCCTTCCTTCCTTCCTTCCTTCCTTCCCTCCCTCCGCCCTTCCTTCCTTCCTTCCTTCCTTCTTTTGCCACTCCGAGAGGGAGGGCCTGCCTGCCTGCCTGCCTTCCCAATGGGATCCGCCAATGGGAATGGGCCTCCGCTCTCCGCGTCACCAGTCTCCAGGCAGACCCGGCCTCCCGGGCTGAGGCTCCCTCTGGCTGCTGCTGCTGCCCATTCCTGCCATTCAGAGAGAGAGAGAGAGAGAGAGAGAGGGAGGGAGGGAGGGAGGGACACAGACCAGCCTGGATCTGGACCACAGCCTCACCCAAGGACTACTCAACCCAATCCACAAGCCTGGCCCTCCCTCGCCCCCTCCCTCCCCCCCTCCCGGGTTGGGCTTCTGTTCTTGTTCACTGCCTGCGCTTCCGGTGTTCTGCTGCTGTGATTTGGCCTCATCATGTCAGCCGCTCCGAGTCCCCATTGGGGGGGAGATGGTGGTGGGCTATGAGGAGCTCCTGCGGCTCCTCCATGATGACATGATGGCAACCGTCTTGGACAGCCATGGCTCCCAAAGAGACCCATTTAAGGTGGAATCGGGTGTCAAACAGGGATGATGTGTCATTGCCCCCACTCTATTCTCCATCTTCATCGCTATGAGACTTCACCTTGTGGACGGGAAGCTTCCCACCGGAGTGGAAATCATCTCTCGGACAGACGGCAAGCTGTTGAACCTCAGCAGACTGAAAGCCAAAACCAAGGTTACAACCACATCTGTTATAGAACTCCAGTATGCTGATGACAACGTCGTCTGTGCGCATTCAGAAGAAGATCTACAAGCCACTCTAAACACCTTTGCAGAAGCATACGAGAAGCTCAGCTTGTCATTGAACATTGAAAAAACCAAAGTGCGCCAAAACCAAGGTTACAACCACATCTGTTATAGAACTCCAATATGCTGATGACAACGTCGTCTGTGCGCATTCAGAAGAAGATCTACAAGCCACTCTAAACACCTTTGCAGATGCATACACGAAGCTTGGCCTGTCACTGAACATTGAGAAAACCAAAGTGCTGTTCCAGCAGTCACCAGCCAATCCCTCTCCAATGCCAGAGATACAGCTTAATGGTGTAACATTAGAAAATGTGGACCATTTCCACTCCCTTGGCAGCCACCTCTCCACAAAAGTCAACATTGACACTGAAATACAACACCGCCTGAGCTCTGAGTGCAGCATTTTTCAGAATGAAGCAGAGAGTGTTTGAGGACCGGGACATCCGTAGGGAGACCAAGGTGCTTGTCTATAAAGCCATTTGTCCTCCCAACCCTGCTCTATGCCTGTGAGACGTGGACTGTCTACAGACGTCACATGCAACTCCTGGAACGATTCCATCAGCGCTGCCTCCGGAAAATCCTGCAAATCTCTTGGTAAGACAAGCAGACAAACGTCAGCGTGCTGGAAGAAGCAAAGACCACCAGCATAGAAGCAATGGTCCTCTGCCATCAACTCCGCTGGGCCGGCCACGTTGTCCGGATGCCTGACCACCATCTCCCAAAGCAGTTGCTCTACTCTGAACTTAAGAACGGAAAACGGAACGTCGGTAGACAGGAAAAGAGATTGAAAGATGGGCTCAAAGCCAACCTTAAAATCTCTGGCATAGACAGCTGAGAACTGGGAAGCCCTGGCCCTTGAGCGCTCCAGCTGGAGGTCAGCTGTGACCAGCAGTGCTGCAGAATTCGAGGAGGCACGAGTGGAGGGTGAAAGAGAGAAACATGCCAGGCGGAAGGCGCGTCAAGCCAACCCCGACTGGGACCACCTTCCACCTAGAAACCAATGCCCTCCTCACTGCGGAAGAAGATGCAGAGCAAGAATAGGGCTCCACAGCCACCTACGGACCCACAAGGAAACCCATAACGGAAGACCATCTTACTCGTCTAACGAGGGATCGCCTAAGGAAGTAAGTCTAAATCCCAGTAACTACAACTCCCAAATGTCAAGGTCTACTTTCCCCAAATTCCACCAGTGTTCACATTTGGGCATAATGAGTATGCGTGCCAAGTTTTGTCTAGATCCATCATTTTTTAGTCCACCGTGCTCTCTGGATGTAGGTGAACTACCCTTCCAGTATTTTCTGGTGGTCATGGGAGTTCTGGTACCAAGTTTGGTTCAATTCCATCGTTGGTGGAATTCAGAATGCTCTTTGATGGTAGGTGAACTATAAATCCCAGCAACTACCACTCCAAATGACAAAATCAATCCCCCACTCCCAACCCCACCAGTACTCAAATTTGGGCATATCAGGTATTTGTGCCAAATTTGGTACAGTGAATGAAAATATCAGATATTTACATTATGAGTCATAACAGTCGCAAAATTGCAGTTATGAAGTAGCAACAAAAATAATTTTATGGTTGGGGGTCACCACAACAGGAGGAACTGGATTAAGGGGTCGTGTCATCAGAAAGGTTGACAACCACTGCTCTACATGAAACCGCTGGGAGAGATCATCCAGAGTTTAGGAGTTTGGTGCCATCCCTATGCAGGTGACACCCAACTCTACTACTCTTTTCCACCTAACTCCAAGGAAGCCCTTTGGGTGCTGGACGAGTGTCTGGCCGCTGTGACGGTGTGGATGAGGAGGAACAAGCTGAGGATCAATCCTGACAAGACAGAGGTCCTCCTGGTCAATCGTAGGCCGGATCGGGGTATTGGGAGGCAACCGGTGCTTGACGGGGTTGCACTCCCCCTGAAGTCACAGGTCCCAAGCTTGGGTGTCCTCTTGGATTCAGTGCTCACGCTTGAAGCTCAGGTATCGGTGTTGGCCGGGAGGGCATTTGCACAATTAAAGCTCGTGCGCCAGCTGCGACCGTACCTCGTGACGTCGGACTTGGCCACGGTGGTCCACGCCTTAGTCACCTCTAGATTGGACTATTGCAATGCACTCTACATGGGGCTGCCCTTGAAGACAGCCCGGAAATTCCGATTGATCCAACGGGGGGGCAGCCAGATTGTTAACTGGTGTGGAGCTCCACTGGCTGCCATTTATTTTCCGGGCCCAATTCAAGATACAGGTTTTGACCTACAAAGCTCTTAACGGTTTGTGCAATGAAATCCTTCCTCATTCCCGGAGCCCCTTCCTTGTAATTTACATTGTCCTATCTCCCAGTGTTTTAATTTTTTTTAATTTTATCCTTGAATCTGGCCCAGCCTAGTGAAATTTTCTGTGTTTTTAATGCTTGATTTTATTGTTGTGTCGTATATATTATTTTGATTTTGCATTTTATGTATTTTGCTTGGTTCTACTATGTTTTTTGTGTCATATTGTTGTATTGTATTGATGGGCGTGGCCTCTTGTAAGCCGCACCGAGTCCCCCTGAGGGAGATGGAGTGGGGTATAAGTAAAGTTATTATTAGTAGTAGTATTAGTATTAGTATTACTCTCCATAGCTACACGATCTCTCTCCTTCCCATGGAGCAGAGCATAGCGGGTGGAACAGACTCCACAGGTCTGCCACACTTTGATCATTATTAGGCTGAGTCTTTTATAGGAATATTCTGCTGATGTCGTCCCAAAGTTGCAAATGAATGGTAGACGTCTTCCATCCTGGCTCCATCTCAGTATCCTGGCCAGATGTTGATCTTCTTGATTGGTGTTGATCTTATGTTGACTTCCTTCTTAACATAAGGAATTTTGCAAGCATTTCTATTATCACTGTCCCAATTCTTATCAGAGTTTACTCTTCAGATCTCATTAACAGGTTTTAATCACAAAGCAGCAAGCAGGGAGTTAGTCATTGCAGGCCTTCATGTTATACTGATCTTTCCAAAATTATTAGCTCCATTCATACAGCCTTCCATTCTTCCATTCATTCCCACACATAATTATTAAATTCATATTTGTCAAATCTGCACATTGAATTTCTTGTGACACCTCCTCCTCCTCTTTCTCTTCCTCCTCCTCCTTCTCTTCCACCTCCTCATCCTCTTCCTCCTCCTCCTTTTCATCCTCCTCCTCTTCCTCGTCCTCCTTCTCCTTCCTAGAGACGCCATGTTCTCCTCTGTGGCCGCCCCTCCCTTGCCTACAGCTCTTGGTGTGTCTTCCTCTCCTCCTCTTCCTCCTTCTCCCTCATCTCCTCCGGCAGGGTCTTCAGCCAGAAGTCGACTTTGCTCTGCTTCAGCTTGTGGGCTCCTCTTGGCTCCAAGCCCAGCTCCAGGTAGCCCTCCTCCTGGTCGTAGCGGGGCCACTCCACCAGCCCTTGGCCGTTGGGGTTCCTGGAAGCACCAAAGGCAGGCAGAGGTGAGTCCTTGCGCATCCTGGCTCACCACAACATCAGGGCCACATGGAGCCAAGAGAGAGCCTCACCCGCTGCGTGCAAAGTTGGCCCAGTATCGCATCACCATTTTGCTCAGCCGCTTCTCCTCCTCGGTGTATCTCCCTGCAAAGGCCAGAAGGAAGAAGGAAGGAAGGAAGGAAGGAAGGAAGGAAGGAAGGGAAGGGCCCTGAGCACGCCTCTCTCCTGGGCCCCGAAGGGAGGGAGGGAGGGGCCAAGAGGGACCATCCCACAGATGTGGGGAGGGAAACGGGAGAGGAACCTACCCCTGCTCAAGGTCAAGGTCATTGTCAGAATTCAACCCCACACTGCCCAAGTCTCAATCAGGAACCATTTAGTTAGCTGAGAATAGGCTAAAGGTTTCCCTTCCTCCATGTCTCCCATCTGACAGAATGCATCTAATGATTCTTCTCTCCTCTGTGTGTCTGCTCTCATTCGGATTGGTTGTGTACAATACTCTTCAACTGCAACTCTTTTGAAATCTGACTGCTGAGTATGTGCTGTGTGCTTTGAGATCTCTCTCTGCGTGTGTCTCTGGGAGATGCAGCGCTTGGAGGATTTCCCCCTCTCTTTGGAACCTAAGAAGAGATGGGCGTGAGAGTGGCTCAGACCCAGTTCTTTCGTTTTCAGGAAACGAGGTTATGGCTTATTACTATTGTAAATAAACCTTTTGTGATGTTTAAGACTGGACTCTGGTTCTTTGCCTGCCTAAGCTCTACGTTCTTTACAGCTCTGCTAGCTAAAGAGACGATGCTCAACTCTTAGTATCCTGTTTGAGTTTTGGGTGCTCTGCCATATTTTAGGGTAGTTCTCCCTAACCGTCACAGGGTCCGCCTGGCCTGCCTTGGCACGGGCCGCTCTGGAGCAGGGCAGGAGGGGCCCCTTTGGCTGCTCTGTGGGGCCCAAGGCACTCCGCCCCCGTGTCTGCGGGGCCCTTACTTCCTGGGACCCTTGGCCATGAAGGGGCTGCTGGGAGTCCTTGCGCCCAATGACTTGGTGGGGGGACCTGTGGCATAGGCTGTGCTTGCTGGTGTCTTATCCACCCTTGAATGCTCCTTCGTGAAGTGGAGCAGCCATTCAGTTGAGCTGCCTCTTCCCAAGGCAAAAACTGAAGCGAGACCCCCTAAACCTCCCCGCCGCTGCTCCAACCCACCCGAAAGACGCTCGTTCCCTTGTGGAGGCCTCACCAAACGGGGAATCCTTGCTGCTTAAGAACAGCGTTCCCAAAACAAAGATGGCTTCGTCTCCATGGTCGGACTTTACAAAAGCCGGCCTGGTGTCTCTGAAGATGGAAGGGCGATGCTGGAATTCGTAGAAGTAGACGGGGGCACCCGAGTCTTTGAAGAAAGGAAAGAGAGAGGTAGAGGGGAAGTCAGTGCCTGGAGTTATGAAGACCCCACACAAACAAACACGCAGGAGGAGGCTTCCTTGGACCCAATCCTTGGGTGAGATCCCAGGGCTCCCACCTCAGACAGGGATGCCCCACGTCCTCAGGGACACAAGGCTTGGCCCCAGGCGCCTTCCCTGCCCCCAGGCCACTCAGAGGGCCTCCTTGAGGCCCAACGGGATCCGGTCCTTGGGGGTCGCCTTTGTAGGCACTCAGGGAGTTCAAGCACCTATTTCCTCACAGCCCTTGCCCCTCCCCCATTTGATGTTTTCCCCCAAACACCAAATGGCACACCAGTACAAGGTGCTTTGTGTGTGGATGCACCTCTATGAGCTCTCGCTACCCGAAGAGCAGGAAGGAGAAAGATGGCGTCCCCCATGAAATCCTGAAATTGCTCCCGTAGTTCCTGGGGGTCTTCCGTCTCCCCCAGATACTCCTCCAGGACCCTCTGCGTGGCCTCCACCGGGAGGTTCTGTGGGAAGAGAGAGAAGGGGAGGCCTCGCCAGCCGCCCCACGGGCTCCGTCCCTCGACCCCTTCTCCTTTGGCCTGCCTTTCGCAGCCACAGCTGTGGCGCAGACGCTGTCCACATCACAGAAGGCCACTGAAATCTGGCCCAAGGGAGGGCCACTGTGTCCAATCATTCCTTGGGGAGGAGTGGGCCCGAGTTGGGACAGAGCCCGGAAGGGGCCAATCCGTGTGGGGCAGAGCAATGGGACACTGAAGAAGAGGACCAGGGAGGTGCCTTCTAGCAAGCTTCTTTTTCTGCTGGAGATGGAACAATGGCTTCAAAGTCTAGGAAAGGAGCTTCCACCTGAACATGAGGAAGAGCTTCCTGACACAGAGAGACACTGTTCAGCAGTGGAACTCTCTGCCCCGGAGGGAGTGTGGTGGAGGCTTGGGAGCAGAGGCTGGGTGGTGGTCATCTGTCAGGGGTGCTTCTTGGCAGAATGGGGTTGGACTGGATGATGGCCCACCAGGTCTCTTCCAACTCTAGGATGCTATGATTCTCCCAGAATCCCCCAGAAGAGGAGGGGCCTGGGGGGGAGGGGGCAGGAAAGACCCCCAGCCCTGGGAGGGCCACGGGAGGAGGGGACACGGGTCTCTCCGGCCCTCAAACCTGGGCTGCTCGGCCTTCCTTCCGCTAAACCTGGTGGAGGGGGACGTTTCCAAGGCCGCCAAGAAGAGCCCATGGCTTCCCGTAACAAAGGCAAAACCAAGGAAGACCTCTCCCTGCCATTCTCACCTGAGTTGGAAAGGAACGCCGCATTCTGTCACTCTGGAGAGCTTTCTGGGACACCTTTTGGGGACCCAGTAAGGCAGCGCTTGGCACCAGGACGGGGCCCCCCTCTGCACCCCCAAACTGGAAGGCCTCCCTTGTGCCCCATTCTGCCTGCCTGGGGGGCTCCTCTGCCCTCTGGCCCAGGGTCCCTTGACCCCTCATTGGCTGCAGGAGGGAGGGAGGCCCGTGCCCTCCTTCTTCCAGGCGGGATGCCCTCCTTGCGCCTTGGGGAGGGACTGTCCTTCATGTGCCGGACGCCCCAAAGGGCTCCCAAAGGGCTCCCAAGGGCCCCCCTGGCGCCAGGTGCAGATGCAGGGAGCCCATAGCCTAGCCTCAGGCCAGAGCCCTCCTCCTCCTCCTCCTCTTCGCAGGGAGATCTCCACTTTATTTCTTAATTAGTCGCTCTCCACCAAGGTGCTCCAAGTGACTTACAATTTAAGATAGCATTTGAGATAGAGATCTCCCACCTCCTGGCACCCTCTTCCTTCCTTCTCCCACTCCAGGATGGAGGATTCCTAAGCCTAGCAGAAGGGTCCAAGCGCTCTCTCACCAGGAGGGAAGTCGATTTCTGGAAGGCAGCCATCACCGCTGGCCGGTCCACGCCTTCCAAGACGGGATGGAAGAGACCTGACTGAGAGAGGAAAGGCAAGACTCCATTGAGAACTGAAACCCTCCACTCAATGCCTTTGGGACACAGTTCATAAGCGGGGACCTAAAGGGCTCCCGTTGGTCAGTTGGGCCTCTGGCGGGGTGAATTCACACGTCATGCTTCCTGCACTCCTAACACAGGCTTCAGAGTCAGCTTTTCCTAAGCATCCACTGAGTGATGGATTCACAGTCTTTTCCAGAACATTCCCAGGTTTGGCATCCATCTGATGATGTAATAATAATAATAATAATAATAATAATAATACTTATACCCCGCCACCATCTCCCCAAGGGGACTCGGGGCGGCTAACATGAGTCCGAGCCCAACAACGCAGCAGTAAAACAACAAGACAGCAAGCAAGTAAAACAGTACAATGAATATAACTCACATATAAGCAATAACACACAAAAATTTAAAACCTTATGTTCATTTCCCAGTCCCAATTCAAGGTGCAGGTTCTCACCTACAAAGCCCTGAACAGTTTGGGACTTGCCTACCTGCGTGACCGCATTTCTGTTTACGAACCCACGCGACCTCTTCGATCATCCGGAGAGGTCCTGCTCTCGCTCTCACCCCCTTCGCAGGCGCAATTGGTGGGGACGAGGAGGAGGGCCTTCTCTATGGTGTCCCCCCGACTGGAACTCACTCCCCTGAGATATCAGACAAGCCCACTGCAACAAGGCCACCAATTTGTAAAGAAGCCACCAGTTTGTAACGGTTTTGTAAAGGAACCACCACTTTGTAAGGGCTTATTAAATTAATCGCGTAGCTAATAGCTAGTGATATTGAATTGGTCTTTCTTCAATGTGTAGTGTGACTTAACTTGGAAAGGATTGTAACAGAGACCGGGCTTTATAAGAAACTGTAATAAGTTTATTTAAATGTAGCAGAAGCTTGATGGTTTCAATGTTTCTTGACTCTTAGAGGCACATATCTTCAGAGGTTACATTTATAACATTCTTTAAAACAACTCTGGAAAGGACTCTTCCTTCCACTAATAATAATAATAATAATAATAATAATAATAATAATAATAACACTTTATTTATACCCCGCTAGCATCTCCCCAAGGGACTCGGTGCGGCTTACATGAGGCTGAGCCAAAATACAACAATACAAGCAATAACAATAACAATACAAGCAATTTAAAAACAACAAAACAATAAAACAATAACACAAGCATTATTAAAAAGACAACACACTTTAAAATCTATGAGTAGGCCAAATGTAATTAAAATTAAAAGATTAAAAAATAATGCTGGACATGGGCAAAAAAAGTGATGGGGCAGTTTGTGGGAACATACGAGCAGACCTAAAAACAATATAAAGTGCTTTGGAGGACAAAGTGCTATGGGATCATTATTCTGGGAAGGCACACTGGAACAACAAACCTGTTTGAAACAACAGGTTTCAACAAACCTGTTTGAAACAACAGGTTTCAAACTATTTTTCTTCAAACTGTTTCTTTCCTTAATAGATTACTTCAGATAAAAGCTTATTCTTTCATTGTGATATTTCTGTTGCAATAAAGATTCTCTCTGGGTTTCTCTCACCCTTTCTACTCACACACTAAATACTAATATAAATAAGTCAACTCGACTTATCTAAACTACCTAGGCTAAAAGCCAAAACCTTCCTGATTCTCACTACAGTAAATCAGTCTTTTCCTGTAGTTTTTAAACGACAGACTACCTTCCTGGTTCTCACTACACAACAGAACCAGCCACTCCTGCAGTTCACAGACTGCAGACTGACCATTTTAAAATGGCTGCCCTGCCAAGTGGCAGTTGGCTCCGCCCCTTTTTCCATAGCAACCCAGCTCAAAGTGAGCTGAGCTGGCTACCATCCCCCCTTTATGCTACTCTAAATACTTACTCTTTCAACGCCCATCTATACCTATACATAACAGTAGATTAAAGTTTACACTTCACCACACCCCCACCTTGGCAGTCTTTAGGAGGAGCCTGAAAACGTGGCTGTCCCAGTGTGCCTTCCCTGAATAAAGGAAACAACGCCCGGATCTGACCAACATCTGCAATAGGTCCTCTGAAGCACTTGACCTGCCCGTTGGAGTAACTGCCCTATATTCATAGAATCATAGAATCAAAGAGTTGGAAGAGACCTCATGGGCCATCCAGTCCAACCCCATTCTGC